CTTTTCTGTGATGCGTTAACAACAAGAAATTTATGACTGTTAACTGTTATTAACTTGTATTGTTGTTATGTGAATGAAACTTAAATGTTCCACTGAAATTTCAACAAGAACGCCCAGCAATCTTTGTTATAAGTTTAAAGAATAAACAATCAACGATCATGGATCAGATAGATAGATAACTTATTAAACGATTTCAGATCGTCAACGAAATAATAGAACATGGGGTTTATAGAGCACGAACCCGTTTATGATTCTCACCAATGATACTATGACCGTTAACTGCGAAAATGCGATCGCCTGGTCTTAAACCAGCACGATCCGCAGGACTGCTGATGTCAACTGTACCAATGAACTGAGGCTTGCCGCGTTCGGCATGCAAATTGTATCCATATTCCTGAACGAACACAACAGCTATTATTTGCACATACGACAGTTTCCTTCATAATAACCGAAGAAATCGATGAAATGAAATGAAATGATTGGTCAGGCGTTCACTGTGATGAGGGCACAAAGCACCGATATTGCGTCGCACTTCGATGAAATACTTCAAAATGAATGAACAAACAAACCTCAGTGGAAGTATTTTTGACCACTAAGCACAGTCTTGGTGGTGGAGCATCTTTGAGAATAGCGTCAGACATAATTCAACAGCTCGTTAAATGAATAACTGACACGTGACTATATAGCAGTGATCCGCTCCTGAACGATAACAATGCCAGCACTCCTTATCTACCTGCGCTCCTCAACAAATTCATTTCATGATTGCAAATTTATTGCTGACATATTCAACTCGGAAGCAGCTTTTAATACAAATATTATATGCAAAACTTCAATTCTACTCATAAAAATAACTCATCGTCAATGAAAAAGAAATTGATCCTCATAAAAGTAACATGATTACAGTAATTTGTAAATCGCTTCGACATGAATAGAACCGTCGTAAATGAGTTATTAGGGATTTTTTTACAGCTGATTCGGCGCATCTTATATAAGAGTGAAGGACTAGGTATTCTACATCAGTCTCCGCCTGCTTCAACTAGAAATACGGAGACGGGATTCTTGTATTACCTATCCCTGCCCCTAGCCTCTCCTCAAGTCATTCACCAGTGACGCCTCCGATTTAAACAGCCACATGAAACATATTCAATGAGTGTAGCATAATGACAATAACGTATTGATCCTTTCGATAACGGAACTTGAGATAAAATTGCAAGCAAACTAAGTAATTGATTGAACGTAGACAGATGGCATATTCTGAGAAAGCTCAGTCACTATTTCAAGCGAATAAACAACATGAACAATGCCGAAGAAATTCACACACTCCTATTGTATCAGGCGCATATAGATAATTTGAGTTGATTATCCAAAGCTCAATACAGTTTAAGACAACAACAATAATTCATAATTGTATATTATACCAGCGATTAAGCCTGCTACAAGATGAGCGGGTACATCATTCCATCAATAAGCCATTTACGTTTTGGCATTTAACGTCGAGACGCCAACGACTTATCAATGGAATATACAACTATTGCTTAGTTACTGGTCATCCTGAAGCAGTGGTTCTCACGCTCCATGCCAACCTTTGGCTGTATGGCAGATCGTCACTCCTCTCCCACTAAAACAATCAGCATGAGCGTTATCTTCTTCTCTCTTCATTTGATATTCTATCATTTCTCAGTGACAAATCAAACGAAAATCAAGAATTGATTCTATGATAAAGAAACCTTCTGCCAGCAATTGCTCGGTTGTATCGGTGTTAAAAATTTCTTCTAATCAAACGAACGTTTTTGAAAGCATCACTGGACCACTATGGAAAAATCATGAGAAAAAAACCAACAGTAACTTGCCCACCTCCTCGATTCCTATAGACATTTTCGAACTGAGCTCCACGCGAAAGTTCTCCTTCCCACCCCTCCTCGCAGTAAGAAACGCTATCCTAACAAGCATTATCACATAAGAAAGACCAATGAACGAAACTTTCACTCATTCATTCCTCAAATGAACAACATGAACGCTTCAGATACTAATGTGAACGAACAGATCAATACGGACGGAACAGAACAACGCAAAACGATCGGATTTCTGTTGTGCATCCTTTAACCACAGTCTATAACAATCCATTAATGCCGCCTGTTTCCAGACAAAAATAGGCAATAAATGTGAATGCATTTTTTACGATACCCTTGCCAATTCATTGCTGATTGTAAGTGATTTTGTTTGTGTAATCTTTAACATAAAATATTTCAAATGAATTTCTCATAAGCATAATCTTCAGTGAGATCTACTTTGAAGTATGGCAAGTGCAATCGTTAACAATGGATTATTGAAGAAATATTTTGTTGTAATTGTATTTTAGACAGAAATGTATAGTCCAGGTGATATGAGCGCAGTTCATGAACGAAATGTGTATACGACGTGTTGGAATCAAGAACAGAAGGAATTGAGTTGGAGGATGAAATTTATTGTTGATGAAAAGTAATTTCGTCTATGTAATGTTCTATGGACTTTAAACGAATTCCTTGTAAGCGTGAGAAGCATCAACAACTGCTGGATTTTAATTCCGAACCGGATTCATCGCTTAAATGTATCATTACTATTGCTACTATTATTATAGTCATCATCGCATTAAAATCATGATTAGCAACAATATCAAGATTGATTAATGATTTGCTTGAATTTTTCAACATTGGCTCTGTACTTTCAACTTTTCTAACAATACATGTCGAAGTCTAACTCATAAATTAAACCAATAACTGCCCTGATTTAAACATTTTTGAATGATATACAGCTGTACTTTCCCAGTCATTAACGAATAATGTGTTTGACTATACGTACATATGAAGTCAAAATTAGAAAGTGCCTTGAATGAATCACAGGAATACGAGAATGAATGAAGTAGCTGCAAGAGAAAACAAGTGAATTATAGTTCGATACGAACACGTAATTTGCGGTAGCCGATGAGAAGCGCTTCGCACTTGATATTACCGAATCAAAATAAATCGAGTGCAATAGCAAACCAATGGTTTGATTAACCTTATAGTGAGTGTCAATCGAAAGTATTGATATCAACTGATAACAGCGGGATGAGATGCTCATAGAGGATCGCACTGAACTGAGTGATTCGAGTTTGGTTAAGATTGCTTGACGAAGAGAATTGGCCTTGCAATATTTTTTTGGAGTTGGTACCCACTGAAGACATCACAACAATAATGATTTATAAAAATGAACATTAAACATATCAACGTAGCATTAGCATTATCATGTTAACTTGTATCACTAAAATTTAAGTGAAATGCTTGGCAATCGCAACGGTGATGCTGGAGACAAAAAAACGTCTCCAGAAACGCACTAGAATAAAAATATGATAGCAATCCGTTTGAATTCTAATCGAAACGGTTCCGATTAAACGTTTTTTTTGATGAGCAAATAGGCTAATAAATGAATGTGACATCTAACGATAAGAATAATTTATAAAATGCTGAAAAACACTTTGAGGAAGCAGAGGAAAATGACAACAGCACCGATTTCAGTCGTATTCAGTGATCTTTATGGGGCAAGGATTGTGCTGCTGTTGATAAGCATTTACAATCAGCACGTTAAGCATATTGCAGGGATACTTTATTGTTTTGATATCAGTAGTCACAAGAATGCTCATATTTGTTGGTTCACTTACACAAGCGATGATGCTCTTGCATTTGTGGGACACATTTCAATTATGTGTGCTGGCATTTCGGAGCGAAATATAGATATGCAGATGGATAGACATAGACAGATAGAAAACAATCAATAATCATGTCACTAAAGCGAACGTTACCGAGAAATATGGTACCACAAAGGAATGCAAAAAACGATATCACATTACGAGCTTTCAATGCATTTCTACTGACTAGTGATCCAAGAGTTTGACTGTGTTACTTACACGTAGTACGAATGCACAAACACAACACATAATTTATTTCAAATATAATAAGCGATAGAGCGTTGAGCTGAACCTCGATATATAGATCACAAGTAGAAACATAAGGTAACCGGAATATACTGGTTTATGTAGATACGAATGTTGTGTTTCGTTTTGTGACTGATAATGAGAGTAATCTCAAGGTATGTTCATTTACTTATCACTCCGCAATTATCAATTGACCAAATCACGGGGGAATTTCTCCAAGCGCATCTTTTCATACGTGTAAACTGCAATTTTCCCACAATTCAACCTAGATTTGGGCTTGAGTTTAGACTCGGGCTCTGTTGCACTGCCTAATCTCCCCAGTGTGAAATCTACACTCCGGCTTAT